TCAAATTAGATTGAGAATTAAGATAGTGGTGCTAGATTTTGAGTGGAATGGAAACTTGAAAATAAAGAAGTTGTAATTTGTTTTAGTGATCTGTTAAAATTATCTAAACTAGAATTAAGATAGTGGTGCTAGATTTTGAGTGGAATGCTATTTTCATAATGAAGTTTTTGCCTCAGTGAATTGACTTGGAAAGTGGCGGATGTCTTTTGCTTACTGCTTTCTTTTTGTTAGATATCTTTTGCTTCCTTATTTTAGTGCTTTTTTACTCACTCTACTAGCAATTATGCCCTTAACTATTGAGTTATAGAATTAGGAAAGTGGCCTAGTTGATTATTTTTTGTTCTGCAATGGATGTTTTTGTGTGATTGTGAATGGGAGATCTTTTAGCTCAAGGTTCACAATTTTCTCTAAAGGATGTTGAAATGGTGTTTGCTGAAATTGACCTAGATGCAGTATGGTGCAAACCCTTAACTGCTCAAATAAATGTGTTTTTTCTTTTCATCTAGCAATTCTAGTTCTGGTTTTTTGCTCCCACTTTCAGGTGGTGCAGATAGTTCCACTGCTGAGCAAGCTTCTGACAGCCTCCGAGCTTCATACATTGCCATTGCAGGTGGGAGTTTCATTTTGTTCAGTACATGAGATTCATACTACATATCTTTGTGATAGTGTCTCTCAAATAGTAATCTATTGATTTTTGTACGGAGTATTCTTATATGTTTGTTTTTATTTATTTATTTATATTCTTCCTAGTTGGTGAAGGTTTACACTTGATCAGTCATTGAAGAAGAAGGATGTGGAAGCTGCATTGATCAAAGCCATTGAAGTAATGACGGATATGAAGGCTTATTTGGATGTAGCGAGAATATTTAAGTAGTATATATTTTTAGGACCTTTTTTTTTTTTGTATGGTAATAGTCTATTGTTGGAATTATTATGAACATGATCATAATGTTGTTGTAAATAATTTTGATGTTTAAATATATTTTCAATTTGAAATTTGGTATGTTAATTAATTTGTTGATGACAAATAATTTATTAACAATAGGTATAAATAGAATTATGGTAATATAAAAAAATAAAAAAATTTCATATGATTTAGGATTTTCCTATCAACACTTGGAAGGAAAATAACAAAATATAATATGTGAGTTTTCTATCCAACGTTGGGTCGAAATTTCCGACCAACGCACGTAGTTGGACGGAATTTTCGACCAACACATGTAGTTGGAAGGAAGTTCCCACGTTTTAAAAATGGTGGGTTACTTTCCGGAATTTCCGTTCAATTTTTGTTCGTTGGACGCTATTTCCGACCAAAAATTATAGTTGGACGGAATTTCCCACGGAGGTGTTTCCGAACATTCCTTTTGGTCGGTATGTTGGACGGAAACGTCATTTTCGACCAATATATCGCGTTTTTCGTCCAAAATTTGTTGAACGGAAAACGCGAGATTTCCAGCAGTGAGTTTTCAAAGTCTAAAGGGCGACTCGCCCACCTCCTCACAAGATTTTGTTTCACATTTGGGACCATAAACTTATTTTACATGCATGCATCATCCAAATTTATTTTATGCTATTATTCCTAACAATCTATTTAGCTCTATCTAGCTAGACCTCACCAAGGCAAATTTTACTATGAAACATGGTCCAAAATGGTGTCGTTTCTTTGACTCATTCCGAACAATTAGTTATGTTTGTATAATATATGTAGTTTCATCTTATATACATCTTATTACAATGAGACATGTTACTGAATTTCATTTTATACACAATATAGTCTTATTACAACACCACTAATTCAACTACAGTTTCAACTGTAGTTGAAACTGTATTTTATATACATTGTAGTCTAATTCAACTACAGTTTCATTGAACAACATACACTCAAATATGTGAAACTGTTATTCAATTTTATTTTATATACATTGTAGTTTCATTACAATACAACTAAAGTATCATTTTGATATAACTACAATTTCATTTGACAATATACACTCAATATATGAGACATGTTATTTGGTTTAACTTCTTTTTATACATATGTACTGTAGTTTCATTTTAGCAAAAACTAAAGTATCATTTTAATATAAGTACAATTCTATTTGACAATATACACTTAATATGTGAGACATATCATTCAGTTTCTTTTTATACATACTATAGTTCTATTTTAACAAAACTAAAATATCATTTCAATATAACTATAGTTTTATTTGACAATATACACTCAATATGTGAGACATGTTATTCAGCTTCATTTTATACATACTGCCGCTACATTTTAACACAACTAAAATATTATTTCAATTCAATTACAGTTTTATTTGATAATATACACGCAATATGTAAGACAAATTATTTAATTTCATTTTAGATACATTGTAGTTTTATTTTAGGGAAAATGACATTTTTTCCCCTTTTGTTATATACTTATAGCACTTTTTCCCCCTAAATTATTTAAGTGGCAGTTTCCCCCCTGATATATTAAATGGACATATTTACCCTTAAAATAAATATTTCATTTATTTTTATTCTCCAACAAATTATAACCACGATTTGAAAAAATGAAATACATTAATTGTTGAATTTAGAATATTTTAAAAATAAAAAAATAAAATTTTAAAAGAAAATTTGAACCAATCGTTCAAATTGGATCCGAAATCGTGAACCGACGTTTCAAATAAAAATCAAATCGCGATTATATATACTTATATGTGAGAGTAGATATAAATGCGAAAAAAAATATACACTATTTGCAAATATTATAATTCTAATTTTAAGATATTGCTAGTAGTTGTTCCGATTTGAACCTCCGGTTCACGGTGCAGGATCCATTTTTTTCCAGTTCACGATTTTAATAAACCGAAACCCAAATATTGGGTTATGTTATGAATCATAACCGAAATTTTTTAATTTGATTGCTATAGTGTTCGATTCAGTTCGATCCGAACCGTGGTCATCCTTACGTATAAGCAATAATTTGTTGAAAAAGATAAATAAATAAAATATTTATTTTAAGGGTAGAAATGTCCATTTAATATTATCAGAGTGAAAACCCGCTACTTTTATAATTGATGGGGCAATTGTGAATGCATGAATAACTTAGGAGGAAAAAATGCTATAAGTATATAACACAGAGGTAACAAGTGTCATTTTCTCTTTATTTTATTATAAACTAACATATAAAAAATATAAAATTTATTAAAATTTAACGGCGACCACGCTATTTTCGAACCATGGTCAACATCCGTTCACCAATGGGTCAATTGTCCTTGGCTACCGGGCCCGGATTTCTTGACCGTTCGACTTAGCTTGCCCGCTATCAAGACGGGTCAATGGGTCATATTAATTCCATTAAAATGTTTTTAAAGAAAATTATTTTCTTCCACATGAATATAGAGGTACCCTTGGGTCAAATAGAGTATTGCACACAATAATTCAATTAGGCCACAGAACCTAAAAAATTAACAATTGGGTCCCTATACTAACTAATTTCAAACAATTCTTTCAATTTGTAGATTTCCAACAGGTCAACAGGTCATCCTCCCAAATTAATTATTTTTTAAAAAATAAAATTTAAAAAAAAATAAAAAAAAATAAAAACAAAATCCTGCCGGAGACGAAGAAACTGTCTCCGGCCGGCTTCTTCGTCTCCACTGCCGGAAACGAAGAGTTTCTTCGTCTCCGGCCCGATTCTTTTTTTATTTTTTATTTTTTTAAATTTTAATAATTAATTTTAAAATTTTATTTTTTAAAAAATAATTAATTTGGGATGATGACCTGTTGGAAACCTTCAAATTGAAAAAATGGTTTGAAATTGATTAATTTAGGGACCCAATTGTTGATTTTTTGAGTTCAATGACCTAATTGCATTATTATGTGCAATTTAATGGCCTATTTGACCCTTATTCCTAATTTAAATTTAAGAGTTTTTTTTTTCTTCTTAATATGCTTAATATGCTAAATATGCAATGTTATTTATTACATTTGGGTGGCGTAATAAGCGTTTTGGCCAAGTGTAATTAACTATGTAAGCGGCATAATTTACTGCTTAATAATGTAGTCAACGTTGCATACATATGATTTTACAAATTAGGAACAGTAAAAAGTTTGACAATTTTACTTGGGACCCAGTGTCGTGATTTAATGCTCAATACGTGCCTAAATCTTTGATAATATACTTACTATTGTAACTTTTGTGCATTATATTCTTCCCATTTAATTTCCTTTCATATGACTTTAATTAAGCATATTCCTGCAAAGACTTGTTTGGTCACTTACATTTATTTTTGTATCCATTGTCTTAACTTTTAAAAAGTTAATAGAACCCAGGAATAAAAATTTACATGCATCTCATGAATATTCATTCTTATTCATTGTCCCCAAAAGGTTGAATTCTCAATTCAAAAGCTCCCTACATCCCGGTTCGATAAAGTATCTGGAAAGATGTAAATCATGGTAACTCAGTTTAATACAGAAGTTAGATTTTTGCTTATTGTGCACAAGGAGTCCCTCTTCCTCACTTTGAGAGGTTGCTCCCGCACTGCTGCTACTGATAATACTCGATCTCGGATCATTAGTCTCAAATTTCATCCACGCGGACTACTCATTCTTATTCATTTCATCACTATAAGTGATATGTCAAGTTTGAATATAATTTATATATATTTGTACTCACTAATAGACCGTACAGTTGATTTTACGGATTTTATAAAGTATTTATATATAATAACACTTACGATGTATATATATATAATAAAAAGTTAATATAATTCACTATCTCATGAAGTCATGATCATATTTTAAAATTTTGTGATGTTATATTAAGCCAAATGTTTTACTTGACTAGATTGCCCAATGCTAAACGATGAACAATAACACATGATTTGTACATGCATGGTTAAACTTCAATTCTTAAACCCAACCGTCCACCCATGCCTATAAATACCATTTTTTCTTCTTCAACTTCTCATCACTCCTCTCGCTCACTCTCTCTCTCTCCAATACATACAATCTATCATCATACACATACAAACATGGAAGTCTCCAAGCTTTGTTTCTCACTTGTCTTCACCTTCATTTACGTAACATTTGCATCAGCAGCCAGTGGTAGCTACAATGTCCAGAGCTATGGAGCAAAACCCGACGGCAAGACTGACTCCACCAAAGCGTTTGTGGGCGCATGGGCGGCGGCGTGTGCCTCCACCGCTCCGGCCACCATTTACGTGCAGGCGGGAAGGTTCTTGGTTGGGAGTGTGAGTTTTGGGGGGCAAACATGCAAGAGCAATGCCATTTCATTTCGAATGGATGGCACGCTTGTGGCTTCATCTGACTACAATAATGTAGTTGGAAAGAGTGGTAATTGGATCAAATTTGAAAAGGTCACCGGAGTTTCTATTTCCGGCGGAACCCTAGATGGTCAAGGCGCTGCTCTTTGGGCATGCAAAAACTCCGCCAAGAATTGTCCAGACGGAGCTACGGTATGGAATCTTCAATATTCATATATATATGAGCACTATGTATGCACAAATGTACTATCACGTGTTCATAATGTACTTGTTGTGGTACATTTCTAACACCACTCAGTAAAATACACTCTAACAGTGTATTTCTGAACATGTAATGATGTATTTGTGTATAGGGCCGGATTTTAAGCTGTGCAAGCTGGGCTACCGCACAGGGCCCCCAATTTTAGAGAGGCCCCAAATTTTAGAGGTCCAATATTTAATTTTTACATAGTTTAGAAATAAAAATTAAAAGTTTTCAATTGAATTAAAAAGGTTTTGTGAAGAGGTGGTGAGAATATGTATTTATTGTATTTTAACTTGGAGGTCAAAGGTTCGAAACTTGCATGTATTGATTTTCAAAATTGTGATTTTGTAGGCCACATTTATTTATTAGAACAGGGCCACAAAAACTTCAAATACGGCCCTGTTTGTGTATACATAGTGATGCAAAACGGTACGACTGCACGGGAAGCAGTAGTTGCATATAAACCAATTATATATATATATATATATATATATATATATATATATATATATATATATATATATATATATATATATATTACATACTATTTCTTTCTGATACCCTAACTTGGATCTGGTAAATATATACGTACCTACGTACAGACACTAGCATTTTACCACTCAAAAAACGTTGTTATCGACGGACTCCGTTCACAAAACAGTCAGATGTTTCACATTCTAATTTACGACTGCCACAATGCCAAATTACAAGATGTGACAATGTCAGCCCCCGAAAATAGTCCCAACACAGACGGAATCCATATTCAGTTGTCGACAGGTGTAACAATCTTTAATTCCCACATCAGTACCGGTGACGACTGTATCTCCATTGGTCCTGGCAACTCCAACCTGTGGATCGAAAATATCGCCTGTGGCCCAGGCCACGGAATCAGGTCAAAGGCCCGCATTCTTAAACTATTATTTTTTGTTTTTTATGCCATTGCGCATGGCGGCCTTATAGTTGATGATAATCTTAAGGATTTTTAATTATGTTGTTTGTACAGCATTGGGAGTCTAGGTCAGGAAGAGCAGGAGGGTGGAGTACAAAATGTGACAGTACAAACTGCTACTTTTACTGGCACTCAAAATGGGTTAAGGATTAAAACATGGGCAAAGCCAAGCAATGGATTTGTAAAAAATGTTGTTTTCCAACACGCAGTTATGTCTGACGTACAAAACCCCGTCATCATCGACCAAAATTACTGTCCTAACCACCAAAATTGTCCTCATCAGGTATGGTCAATCATGCATATTCCTACTTATCTTCCAGCACCATCTGGTTTTCAGATCAGAACCTTAAAAACGACGAAAACAGAAAATGAAATCCCCGATCCTTTTCCGATGCTAATTAAACATCGCATGTTTTGTGATTCAATATCTCAGGACTCGAGCGTGAAGATAAGTGAGATAAAGTACGAGGACATACATGGTACATCAGCAACTGAAGTGGCGATGAAGTTCGAGTGCAGCAAGACACAACCCTGCAGTGGCATAACGTTGGACGATGTAAACCTGACATACAAAGATCACCCGGCTCAAGCCTCCTGCTCTAATGCCGGAGGGACGTCTTCCGGTTTAGTTACACCGGCAAGCTGCCTCTAGGCGGTTTCAGATGGTTGTATTGAAGAAGATATATATATATATATATATATATATATATATATATATATATATATATATATATATATATATATATATATATATATATATAATTTGTTGCTTATTATTAGTTTAGGCTTGCTAATTGGCGTCTGATGATCGAGTTTGCCTGATTTGGCCTTAGCTTGCTACAAATGTAATACTACATACATTTGCTTTTTGATTGATTCAAAATTTGGAACCTAGCACTTCTAATTGGGATTAGAAATTTATATTTTATCTCATACGTTTCTAAATTAGGATCATAATTTCAATAATTTAAATAAATTTGTAGTCAACATACACTTTGACATCCAAATACATGTAATATTAGCGGCAAAATTGAATTTCCATCTTTTATTATTATTACTACTAGTTTTACATGTGCAAATGGGTTAATGCCCAGTACTTATATTTAAAAAAATATTTGAAAGTATATCAATAACGCAAGGTTATATAGGAGAAGTTCAAAATTGAATGTCAAATTTGCTTATTTAAATACTGATGGATATATTATGCTCGGAGCGAACCGACTCGGAGAGGTGGAGCAAACTGACCCATAGAGGTGGAGCAAGACCCGGGGCCCCGACCCATAGGGCCTCGGCCAGAGCAGCTGCCGACCTCAACCTGGAGAGGTCGGCCGTGGAGAGGTCGGCCATAAAAAGGGTCGACCTGGAACCGGTCAAAGGGACGCGGTCAACGCGGATCCAACCACCCCCCGCCTTAGGGGGTAGCGGTTAGGGGTAGGGGTTGTATAAAAACCCCCCACCTTGTCTCACTAAGACATGTTCTATATATTCTACATCTATTCTACACACTTCATTCCTGACACACGACTTTATAGCTATTATTGTCAAAATCAAGCCCTGTAATAGCTTATTAGCGATACTTAATACAATATACGGTCCCCGCAACCTACGGTCCCTGCGACCTTACGATATCCTTGCGTTACATCTATGTATTTCATATCACGTTCTTATCCGGATTCATTGATTCGGGTCTACCCCGGGTTAATTAAATCCATCATTGGTGCTCTTGTTGAGAGCTGTTGTACCAGCTCAAGCACGTTCTATATTCAGTGGTCTACCGCGACCAACTACCATGACAAGATCGAGATCCAACTCTCGCCAGACCAACAATTCCCGCGGCACCCAGCTCGCCGCAACCGGGAACGGCCTCAACGGGGTCCCCAGCCTTCAGTCGACCGCCTCTGTCAGGTCGGGGAGAGACATGAGGGATCGTCTTACCAACCACCGCAGCGGTGGTGCTCCACCTCCCGCCGCCCCTATTCCGGACCTAGCCCTCATCCGGGAGGGGGTGGCGATCTTCGAGCAAGCCTCCATGGCGCTAGCCCGGATCGTGGAAGGCCTCCGAGCAAGTGTGCCTGCCGACCCAAGCGTCAACCGAAGGGTGCCGGCCCCACCTCCACCTCCCCCACGGGGGCGCAGTGGTCCAAGCGCCCGACCACCCCAGGCACCCGTCACCCAGGAGGAGGTCAATTCACCCCGCCGGACGCACACACGAGGAGGAGGTGACTCACGACACGAGCGACGTCATGAAGTCGATGGACGGAGGTCAGACCAAACCAGGCCTGCCCTGGAAAGGTTGGGCGACCGGGTGCCAGCCCGTGAAAGGTTGGGCCCACGGCCAGCAACCAATGGGCCTCCAACAGTGGAATCATGCTCCCCCAGGCCACCATGCCGTCGATCTGTCACCCGGAGGTCTTCAGCTAGTCAAATCTATTATTTAGCATTATTTAATTATTGTGGATGTGGTTAATTAATGGCGTATGCTCAGCTTTATTTGGGGAAAGTTGGTTGAATGGAAATTTGTATAAAAGGATGGGTTTTTATATCACTTTACTTCACGGATTTCAGAGATACTAGTCAGAGGAAAATTCTATTTATATTACATCTATTTATCAGATTATAATATTGTTATGAAGTGGTGATCTCGCTGGACCAAACGGCCAGGAGGCAGGGTCAATAGTATTAGCGCCTGAAATAGAAGTTGGCATGCACGCACCTCTCCCAATTAGATGTTGTGAAGATTAAGAGTTAGTTGGTGTGGCTAAGGCTGTGTATACTCAAAACCCCTTTGTAATCTATGTGAACATCTAGTGGATTGGGCTAACGTGAGTTGCCCTGCAAACGTAGGAGGTTTCGCTCCGAATTGCGTGATCAATATATGTGTTCCTGTTTTTATTTCTTACCTTTAATTCGTTATTTGTTCCTTCAAAATTGACATAATTAATGGTACGATAATTCCACCTTTAAAAATCAAGTAGAAATTTAGAACTTAACTTGCATTCAAGACTCACGGTACAATTTCATTTGGTATCAGAGCCCGGAGACTTAATTTATTAGTCTATCGATTTGGCTATTCGGTGTCTCTTGAACTCAAGCTTTCAGCGATTTTTAGTTTTATTTGTTCTTTTATTGCGGTGTTTAATCTCAAGGTCTGTTAAGTGTTTCAGGATGGATCGATATAAGTCTCCTCCCTAGTTAACAGGTGACAACTACGCCTATTAAAAAGCCCGCACGAGAACTCATCTTAAAGCACAAGGAGAACTCGTTTGGCGTTCTGTTTTAACAGGGTGGACACATCCTACCAAGGCTGAAGCTACTCCAGAGGATCCCCCATTGACAAAACATGAAACTGAATGGACTTAAACTGAAATAACCAATGTTGTATATAATGATAAAGCACTTGACACGATTTATTCATTAATGCATGAAAGCTGATTCTCTTTGGTTACATGTCTTGATTCGGCAAAAGTTGCATGGGAGATACTTGAAACAACCTACGAAGGTACAAGTTCAGTTAAGCAATCGAAACTGCAACTAGTCCAGTCTGAATTTGAGGAACTCTGAATGCATGAGGATGAAACCATTATAAGTTTTCATGGTCGTGTCCAAGAATTGGCCAATCGTGCAACCGTGCTTGGAAAACCCTCCTCCCAACCAAAGCTGGTCAAGAAGATCCTAAGGTCACTACCACCGCGATTCAGGATGAGGGTAACTGCTATCTAAGAACATGATGGTTAGGAAAATAAGTTAGTGACTCAATTAATGGGGAATCTGCAAACATATGAAAGGAAATCCTCACTTATCACACCAAAAAGCAAAAAATCATTGCCTTTACCGTTGAAGAATAAGACCCTGCATCTGATCCAGAAGAACCAGGTGATGATCCATTTGTGTTTTTAACTAAACAATTTTCAGAAATTTTGAAACAGGTTTCACAAAATAATTCTCGAAATAACAAGTTTCAAAAAGTATCAAGCTCGAATGCATCAAAGAATGGTCCCAAATCTGACTCATCAAATTACAAGTTTTCTGCCTCTTGTCCAATCCATTTCAAAGACAAATCCAACAAGGGGATTCGGTGCTACGAGTGTGAAGGTTTTGGTCACGTACAAGCTGAATGTCCCACTTACCAAAGGCGAAAGAAGTCGATGTCAGTGGTAACCTAGAGTGACGATGAACCTGAGTCAGAAGCACTTGGATCTGATGCAGTGGAAATATCTGGAAATTTTGTAGCATTCACTGCCAAAACCACAGCACGTTCAGAACCTGGAGATGTGGCTGACTCAAAAAGAGGCGAATACAATTCAGCTGCAGATTTTGATTTACCTGCCTCATCTTATGAAGTAGAATATAAAATGTTGTACTCCAAATGGGAGGCCTTACTTAAAGCTAATCATTCCTTGTCTAGTTAAGTAGGGATAGTAGACAATTCTAGAAAAGTGTACAAGAATCAGGTAGCTGATAGGGATTTGTTTCTTAAAGCTGCTTTTGACCAAGAAGAGAAGCTGAAGCAGGAAGTTAAGGCGCTGAAACAGGAACTGAACACCCTCAAAAATCAAATTCAAATGATGGATACTACCTCGACTCTTAACAAAATTCTTGATTCAGGAAGGCAATCATCTACAAAATTTGGCCTAGGTTTCACCGATGGCAACAACAAAGACAAAACCGCCTTTGTTAAAGCTTATGGATCAGATCCAGAAGATATTCCTGAGTCAAGTTCAACGAGACAAAATCATGGTAAAGTATGGCAAAACAAACGTCTTTATAAATCTTATAAACCAATTTGTCATTATTGCAGGATTTGAGGCCACATTAGACCTGGATGTTTCTACTTCTACAAAGATCACAGGACTGAAAAATATATGCACAAGTATATTACACCGTTTTCTAAGCAAATTTGGGTTAGGAAAACAAATTTTGTCTCTCAGTCAATTCCTAAAGCATCTCAAGGATGGCAAAATGATAATTGGCAAACATGCTGATTAAGGATTGCAATTAAGAATAATAGGTAAATTTCTAATTTTATTTATTTTAATTATTTTATCTAATAAAATTTGCTATTGTTTCAGGTTATTATAATTTGAATTATTCAAAGGCAGTTTAATCCATTAGGAATTGAAATTTTATTTTTTTTCCTCTTCATTCAAATATTTCTTATCCTGCCTAAAATCTTGTAACCAAAATTTTGAAAACTCCTAAATATTCTAAAATTTGTCCCCTATTTTTTTTAAAGGGTTATTGAAAAAAATCTCCAAAAATATATCACCGCTTAGCCTAGCCCCAACGCCGGCCACTGCCTCTTTGCCAACCGCCATCGTCGGAATTTCAGCAGACCATGACACCTCCATCGCACAATTGCAACCGCCTGGAGTCACAACCACTGCCGCTATCGCCCAGTCGTAACAGTCCACTGTCATGCCACCTGCCCAGCAGCCTACTACCGATACTCAACTGCTGATCAATCGTCCTTGCCGCAACCAACATCAACCTTCCAGTCGCAGCCCACAAACAACTAGCAGCAGTCGCACCGTTCAGCCTGATTCAATCACGTCCGTGACCGCTACAGCTTTTGACATTGTACTTGTCGACCTCACGATCCCAGGCTGCCGGCGACATTGATGAACATCAGCCACCACCGCCATGCATTCTTCAGGTCAACCACAACACAGCATTCGGAGTTTTACATTCAACTAGAAAAGGCAAAGAATGATCAAATGCATAAGGGTTCTTGAGAAGTCTGCTCGTGCTCTATTTTTTTTTTCATCCAATTGGCCGATGATACGATTGAGTTCTCTTTTCAAACTATATGATCTCAAGCAACAAGAGGTGAAGCTTACTAAATCTGATTGATATGGAGGATGAAGAAGACATTGACAAGGAACAATTTCTCGCTG